CCAGGCCTTTCTCCCAAACAATGCCTCCGTTTGTTGCCCCCCCCCCCGCCTCCAGTCCTGAAGCGAGCGTCAGTATTGCTCCGGTTTGCGCAGTCACGGAGCTGCCAATTGGGAGGTTTCGGGCCAGGGGCATCTGCCTGGCCGCAGTCCCCTCGCCTTCCCCCTTCCTCCTCTAGCAGGGTCCTTGTTCCCCACCCACCCCTTTCTTCTTCCTCTTCCCCAGCCAGGATTGGTGGCTTGGATGGGGAGAAGGCTGAAAACCTCCAAACCCACCCGGGTTTGGTCCTTGCTAATCTCTTGTCTCTACTCATCGGATAAGTAAAGACCAAGTTAACGCCCGGCGCCTGTAATATCGGTACAGTGACTCTGCTTGAGGTCCTGGGCAGGAGGAGGAGGCTGGGTCGACCCTGGTGATCCCCAATTTCTCTCCCCACTCCCCCTGTTTGTGCCACTACAACAGACCCCTTGGCTGTAAATAGTTTTGGTTGCCCCGGTGTAAAAACAAAAAAGAAAGAAAGACGTGGAGACTCTAAGAAAGAGTGCAGAGATAAAGCAAGCAGGATGATGAGGGCAACGGAGGCTCAAACCTAGGAAGAAGGACCAAGGATGACGGGATACCCATCCCAGGGGCTGCCCCAAAGAAGAGGGAGTCAAGCTATTTTGGGCAAAGCACCTAAAGGGAAGACCAGAAGCCACGGGGAGGAAACTAAGCGAGGAGAGAAGCAACTTAGAATTAAGGAGAAATTTCCTGACATTCGGAACAATTCACCAGTGGAACAATTTGCCTCCGGAGGTCGTGAAAATGCTCCAACACTGGAGGTTTTTAAAAAGATGTTGGATAACCATTTGACTGGAGTGGTGTAGGCTTTCCCGCCTAGGCAGGGGGTTGGACTAGAGGACCTCCAAGGTCCCTTCCGACTCTGTTCTTCTATTTATGCTAAACGCCTCTGCCTCGTCGGCTCCTTCACACGCCTGGAGAGCAAACTTCTTACCTGCCTTTCGGCTGAACGAAAGATGCCATTTTAAGCCCCCCGCTGAAGAGCACAATGAAGGCGGAGATGTCAGTCCCCCAAAGGCTGGTCCTCCTTCAGTGGCCTTTGGGAATCAGGTTGGGCCCCTTCGGCGGGATGTTTGGGGGGGGGTCGTAGCCGGACCACGGTTGTCCCCCCATCATTGTCCTTACCCTCCCAGCCAGGTGACGCGGGGTCAGCCAAGGATGCAGTACAAAGGCACGCCATGTAGTATAACGGCACGCCATTCCTTGCCCCGGGCACCTTCCATGCACCAAGTCAGGGTTTTGACAGGTCCGTTTCAGCCGGGATTCGCAGATGCCCACCAGGGGTTGGCAGAGCCCTGCCTTGGCCTCATTCTGTCCGAGCCAGGAGGGGAAAGCTCGGCTTAGCGGAAAACGACAGCTCTGCTTCTTCCAAAGAATGAGGTGCTTTGCCTCTCTCTCTCTCTCTCTCTCTCTTCTCTTCTCTTCCTTTCTTCCTCTGTGTTTCTGTTTCTCAATGTTTCTTCTCTTTCTCTCTTTCTCGCACATTCTCTCTCTCTGTTTCTCTCTTTCTCACATTCTCTCTCTCTCTTTCTTTCTTTCTTTCTTCCTCTCACATTCTCTCTCTGTTTCTCTCTGTGTCTTTCTTCCTTTCTT